TTGGATCCCGGGTTTATTCCCGGTTGGGGCTCATTCCCAGTCGAATCCCGGGCTCATTCCAGTTGGATCCCGGGTTCATTCCCGGTTGGATCCTGGGCTCGTTCCTGGTTGGGGCTCGTTCCCGGTCGGATCCCGGGTTCATTCCTGGTTGGATCCTGGGCTCGTTCCCGGTTGGGGCTCATTCCCGCTCGGACCCCGGGCTCGTTCCCGCTCAGATCCCGGGTTTGTTCCAGATTGGATCCCGGGTTCATTCCCGGTTGGATCCCGGGCTCGTTCCCGGTTGGGGCTCGTTCCCTGTCGGATCCCGGGTTCATTCCCGGTTGGGGCTCGTTCCTGCTCGGACCCCGGGCTCGTTCCGGGCGGATCCCGGGTTCATTCCCGGTTGGATCCCGGGCTCGTTCCTGGTTGGGGCTCGTTCCCTGTCGGATCCCGGGCTCGTTCCCGGTTGGGGCTCGTTCCCGGTCGGACCCCGGGCTCGTTCCGGGCGGATCCCGGGTTCATTCCCGGTCGGATCCCGGGTTCATTCCCGGTTGGGGCTCGTTCCAGGTCGGACCCCGGGCTCGTTCCCGCTCAGATCCCGGGTTTGTTCCCGGTTGGATCCCGGGCTCGTTCCTGGTTGGGGCTCGTTCCCAGGCGGACCCCGGGCTCGTTCCCGGTTGGGGTTCATTCCCGCTCGGCCCCCGGGCTCGTTCCGGGCGGATCCCGGGTTCATTCCCGCTCGGACCCCGGGCTCGTTCCGGGCGGATCCCAGGTTCATTCCCGGTCGGACCCCGGGCTCGTTCCGGGCGGATCCCGGGTTCATTCCCGGTCGGACCCCGGGCTCATTCCGGGCGGATCCCGGGTTCGTTCCGGGCGGACCCCGGCGGGACCGGGCGCCCTTCCCGCCCCTCCCGCCCGTCCCCTCACGCCGGCCCCGCCCCGGCCCGGCCCCAAGATGGCGGCGCCCTTGGCGCTGCAGCTGCAGGAGCTGCTGGACCCCCGGCCCGGCCCGCGGGACCCCGAGGACGATGCGGAGGAAGGTGCGGCAGCACCGGGGAAGGGAGGCTCGGCACCGCGGCCGGCGGCGGCGGGAGGGGCCGGCGGGGCGGCCCGGGCGCTGCCGGAGCGGCCGCACGTGGCGGCGGGGCGGGTCGGGCCCCGCCGGGCCCGGGCTGACCGCAGGGACCGCGGCGGGGTCGGGCCCGGGTTACCGACGCGATCGAGTCCTGCGAGCCGCCGGCGGGGTCGGGGATGTGCCCGCGGTCGGTTCTCAGGGCTGGGGCCAGCCGCGGGGTCGGGCCTGTGTTGGGCCTAGCCCGGTTCTGTCCTGCAGGCTGCTGGGAGCGGCGGTGCCCTGTAAGAAGCGCCTCGGTGCCCGCTGAGGAACTCGCCGTGCTCAGGAGCGCTGGTTTCCCGTTTTAGTAACCATGATTTTGCTCCAGGCTGCGCAGAATCCCAGACCGGTGGGGTTTGGGGCCGCAGAGCCCACCCAGTGCCACCCCTGCCATGGCAGGGACGCCTTCCACTGTCCCGGGCTGCTCCAAACCCGCCCGGCCCGGCCCGGGACGCTGCCAGGGCCAGCCGCTGCAGCTCTGGGAGAGCTTCATCGTGTGCTGGTGCCAGACTGAGGATTCCAGGAGGTGCTGGAAGGATCTGCCCCTCCTGCCCGTCCTCTGCTGCCTGGAGTGGCCGTGCTTGTAGCTGATTTTGTTATTTTGGTTATGAGCAGGAGATGTTTTTGCCCCCCTCTGCCTCTAACAAACACTCCAAACAGGCGTTAAGATTTCCAAATGCATATTAAGGGCACTCAGCGATTTGAGTCGCTCATTGTAATTTGGCACAGGCTGGGGAGTGCTGGGGTGTGTTCTCTGGGCTGGACTGTTCTGCTCTGTGTCCCAGAGGAGATGGGGATGAAGGAGGGCAAAAACCACAGTGCAATGTATGTGTTTATGTGGCTTGTATGTACAGCAAGAGGCCAGAGTGCATCTGAATTGGAGCTTTCCTCTTTTAATCTGCAAGCACAAAGTGAGTGAAGGCGTTGCAGCTTTGCAGAGCCCTCCACGTGAAGGACTCAGAGACCCTGCTGCATCCTTGGTTCATGTTCTGCTTCGTGCATGAGCCTTTCCCCCTTGCAGGAAATTATTTGTGTGCCTTTCCTGCACTTTTCAAAGTTCCTGTTCCCCTGTGCAGTGCCCTGTTGTTAGAGAGCATGAGGAGCTTCCCAGGGCTCCTTCCAGACTGGAATTCAGCTCACTTTCAGACACCCCTTCCCTTTTTTTTACCTCTCCACAGCTACAGTTGCTAAAGTGATTGACAGATTTGAGGATGAAACCACGGATGACATTTTGCCTGTTGGCAATATCAGGAAAAGAGCCTCAGCCTTTCTCCTGGAAGCTGATAAGAGGTACAGTGGAAAAGCCACATCTCGGAAAGCTTTGCAGGAAGAGCTCTGGGGAGATGCTCTGTCTGAAGAAGGATCTGGTAAGAAATCTCTTTTTTTCCCCCCTTTTTGCTGGCAGACCATGATGTCAGCACTGAGCCTGGCAGAGCTCAGGGCAAGGAGCAGCTACAGTTAAACTGGACATCAAACAGCCCAAACCTGAGCTGCTGCTGGGGAATTTCCCTGCTAAGCAAATAACTTTTTTCTCTTGTTTATTAGCTGAAGAAGCACTAGATGACTGGTACAGTGGCAGTGAAGGCTCAGAAGAGGAGGACGGTGTTGGCACAAAGGGCAGGGAGAAGCCCAGCAGTGCTGGCAGTGAGCAGGAGGATGACTTGGAGGATGATGAAGAGGCCAAGGCACCAGAGTTCAGCTCCCAGAATATCACAGACTTTGAGAAGTTTACAGAGGGGATGGATGATGCAGGGAGCAGTGAAGGGGAGGATGAAGAGGAGGGTGAAGATGATGCTGACATGGAAGAAGGAAGTGAGGAGGAGGAGGAGGAGGAGGAAGAATTTGGGAGTGAAAACCACGATGATGGAAAAGAAACCAAAGACAACGAAGATGATGGGGGAGTGCAGACCTTCTCCAGAGGACAGGAGTCTGAAGAAGTGGAGAAGGGCAAAGCTGTGAGGAACCAGCTAGGTTTGTGCATGTTTGCTGTGTGTTTGCTGGCAGGGTAAAACCAGCCTGAGCCCCTCAGCATGCTGAGGTGCTGCCAGCACCCTGCTTGTGCATGCTGCAGCAGCCCCGTGTGCGTGCAGATGTTGTGCCAGATGTTCTGGTGTCACTGCTGCTGTAACAGCTCCTGATGTGAAGTGTATTTATCCATGAGCTTAACTGAACCAGTGCTGAATATCCTCATGGGGCCATTGGGTTTGGGAGCTTCCTGCACTGCTCCTGCTGGGATCACGTTGCTTCTTTCCAAAGTGTGACTCCCACAGTGCCATTTCTTCCTGTGTGAGCTGTTACAGGATCAAACCTCTGTGTGCAGGCTTTCCTTTGAACCAGTGGAGCAGAGGGCTGGTTTGGGCTGTGGGTCACAGAGTTGCAGCTGGGATTTGCTTTGTCCAGAGGGAACTCGTGGCACCCATTTTGTGCTGGCCAAGGCTGCCCTGAGCAGGAGGAATGCAGCCCAGAGGAGAGGGCCTGAGCTGTCAGGTGCTTCACCAGGAGCAAGTGCTTTGTCTTGCTAACTGATTCTTTTGTTTCCTTTTTTGTTGTGAAGCCCTGTGGGACCAGCTGATGGAAGGGAGGATCAAGATGCAGAAGGTGCTCATGACTGCCAACAGGCTGCCCCAGCCAGACACCTACCCCAGGTTCAGGAAGGAGGGGGGACAGGACTTTGACAACGCTGTGGAGAGCTGTAAGAACCTTTTCATCTTTCTCCTTTGCTCAGACCCTTACGAACAATTGCTTATTGCTGTCCAGGGCAGAGCTGGGGTGTTCTGTCCAGAGACACCTTGTACCAGC